TGGGAGCTCTGGTGGCGTAGTGCCTAAGGCACTTGACTACTAACCAGAAGACTGGTGGTTCAAACCCACCAGCCACTCCTTGGAGGGAAGGTTGGGCAATCGACTTCCATAGAGATACTGCCTCCGAAACTGAAGGAGGGGTTGCTAGGAATTGGATCGACTCGATGGCAGAGTATAGCTGCAGAACTGTGTGATTTTTCTCCTTGAACATTCTGTTGCTGGGGTTCAGGCAAGGCTGATTAGTTGTTTTTTACCTTCGTCTCATACAGTGTCCGCTGCTTCCAAGCCATTTCTCTTCATTCTTCCTATTTAAAGCTCATACAGTCAGGCAACACCACCTATCATTCTTGTTTGAAACGGTAATAAGCTGCCCTTAGGGTCATGCCTGCTCGTTTGGTGAAGATTGTGTCACCCGAATCACCGGCTCCGGCTCCTCTCTTAGGGAAGTCAGTTCCAAGTGGCTGGGGGGTCAGTGCCCTCGGCAGCCGTCCAGCGTCGGGTAGTGTGAGAAGACGCGGGGAGTATTCCCTGAAGCGATGGAAAATGTTTGAAAAAATGGAAGGGCCTTTAGTGAGAAACCTGAATATCTGTCTGGGCAGTTTTATGAAAGCAACATATATTTTGAGCTTTATCTAGGCTCAAATGTCTATGGTATGGATACAGGAGTTCCCTGCCCCCACCCCAAGATAGACCACCATTTTCTTACTAATCCTGGTTATTTTAGAAGTTGATCTTATATATCATTTATACTTTCAGATTATATTTAAGAATCAAGCAAGTCGACCATATAACATCTACCCTCACGGAATCACTAATGTCACTCCATTGTACTCAAGGGGATTACCGAAAGGCAAGTATTACCTCAATTTTTATAGGTCTTACCTGTAGACAAAAGGGAGGTCACAGGATCAGTAATAACGAGAATTCACTGGTTCTTGACCCCAGCGACTGACACAGGGTCTCCAGCCCCAGTCACACCGAAGCAGTCCCAGAAACCCCCAGGGAGTAGCTCATGACTCAGTCAAGAGGTCCGTGGCGTACTTTACCAGAAGTACATTATCTCCTGGTGATGTCTGAACATTGCACTGCCAATGAGGTTGGCACCTTTCCACTACCAGTCCCCTAAAAGTTGAAGCTAGGTCTTGTGGCAAAAAAAAAAAAAAGTCCTTTGCTGTTTCTCTTATGGGAGCTCTGGTAGCGTAGTGCTTAAGGCATTTGACCGCTAAGCAGAAGGCTGGCGGTTCAAACCCACCAGAGCCACTCACTCCTCGAAGGAAGGTTGGGCAATCTACTTCTGTAGTGATACTGACTCGGAAACCCAAGGAGGGGTCGCTATGAGTTGGAACCAACTCAACGGCTTGTTAAGTGAATGTGGTTTAATGGCATATGTAACTTTTCATTTCTAATTTCCCTTGAGGCTTTTTCTTCGATCCATGGATTTTTTGTAATTATGTTTTTAAACATTCAAATATCTGTGGATTCTCTAATATATTTTGGTTATTCCATTCCTTTGTGGTCAGAGAACACACTCCATATGACTTGAATCATTTCAGCAAGTTGACACTGGTTTTATGATCCAGAACGTGACCCAGCTTGAGGAGCACCTGTCAGTTGTAGGATGTAAAGTTCTGTAACCACAAACAAGGTCAAGGTGACTGATTGTGTTTGGCTGGTTGTTCTATCAATCACTGAGAGGAGTGTTAAAATTTTGACCTCTGTTCAATTGTCTATCTTTCCCCTTAATTCTGTCAAATTTCTCTTCATGTATTTTGAAGCTCTAATATTAGCACATCAACTCCAAACCAAACTCACTGTCATCGAGTCCATTCTGACTCATAGCAACCCCCACTGGGCTTCTGTCCTGGTTCCCTAGTGCCACTCTGACTGACAGGAATATACCAC